CACCCGAGAGAAATGGGCAAAATTTAGAAAACACAACCTAACGCGGGTGTTTTATTAGTTTCTCAAATGGTCTTTAATGTAAAGATTGTTTTAGTAAAACACCGTTGAGGAAATGCACAAAATGACGAAACACGGTTTCCGGTGTTTCGATCTCTGCATGATATAACATCAGTTTCACAGGCAATCAGAACGCGCGCTTTATCAAATATGTGTAAATGTAAATAATCTGCATATCTTCTGAACAGAATTTTTCTTTGTTCTTTTCTAGATAGTAGAGCATGGGCCAGTGCAGTTTTTATTTGACGAAGGCATCGAAGTAAATTATTGGTTCCCAGTCCTTGCGCGTCAGAAGATGAAAAATCAAAAATCAGTAAACGTGAAAATCATTTAATTTTGCCACGTTTTTTTCAGCTTGTTTTTGCTTGTCATGGTAACGATTCTAAAGCCCAAACAATATTTATTTGACAAAGCTATTCTTTCAATTTTCTATTTGTTATTCTGCATGCAGCGGTTTTTCTTTAAAAGCAGATTTATAAGTCAATAGAGTTCTTTGTCGTACATATAAAGCTGTATGTCATTTGTAATAAGTTTGTGACAGGCGGAGTCATCTACTATATATCTTAATAGCTACAATCGATAATAAATTTTGGTGCCATTTACGTATCGAAAGCAATTTGACTTATATGTAAAACAAATTCGCCGTGGCGGAAATCATAAACATGTTCTCATTCATAAGAATTATTTTTATGAGCAAAAACCAGTAAGAAGCGACCTTTACGACTGCCCATATAACTTAATTTCCTGTCGACGAACAAACCAACCCGCTGGGAATTCATTCATCACAAATGAAATTGCAAAGTTAATCGGAAGACTCGACATAGTGTCCTTTAAAACTGTCTGATTTTGCCAGTCAAATTTTAGTTTTTTTAATTTCATTTTGAAATCGTTTGTCTTCATAAAAGGACGTCAAGGGCATAAAAGAATCGCTCAACGGACGAGGCAGGCTGTTGCTAGTGGCCGGACTGATGGTTGCAGCATATTTTAAAAATCTGTGAAAACAACATGTATGTTCAATCATTTGGCCAAACCGATAAAACTATGTCTAATCTAGTCGGGGAATTTATATTTAACACTGCTTAGTAAGTCACAGGTAAGACACTTCAAGACTTTCTCCTTCGCGATAAAATTACAAAATCGATAGCGATAAAAGACAGAACGCCTGTAAAGTCACAGAAGAATCTGTTCTCACAGTACGTGGCTGATAAAACACCTTTTGGTGTTTTTGTATTGAGGTTTGACGATTTTTCAGTCGTGAAAAACATACCAACTAGAGCGTCGATCGTTTGCAATGGATAACAAGACAATCGTGAACAACACCACACGAGAAGCCGATAACGGAACCGATTCTTCAGGGGAACTCGATTTCATTTCAGATGGACTCACAACAGGAATTGTGGTCAACACCTTTCTGATACTTTTAATCGTGGGAGGTAATTTTCTGGTGATTGCAGCTTACGTGAAAAATCACCGACTTCGCACTGGAACCTACTCGTTGTTAGTGAGCCTGGCTTTGTCTGACTTACTCGTTGGAGGTGTCGCTATCCCAATCCGAATCTACGGTTCCATCAAGAGTTGGGATGTCAGCGTCATATTTGTTTTAGCTTACAACGCGTTTGACATCTTCAGCGCCGTAGCGTCCAATCTTCACTTGATGGCCATATCATTCGAGCGTTTCATAGCCGTTTCGCGACCGTTTTATCACCAAACGCTCTCCGTCTCTCCGTACGCGGTAGCGTCAATGATGTCCTGGACCTTAGGGATTGTCGTCGCCTCAGTACACCCAGCAAACTATTTACAAAACGATAGTGATATATCGCTAAAGTTGAGACTCCTTGAGGTATACTCTGTCGCTTTATTTGCCTTGTGCTTCTTGGGGCCGTTAACAACAATCACAATTTTAAACATCGGGATTTTCCGCATTGCAAGAGTGCTAATCCGACGCGATCCATTACAACACGGAAACATGGGACAAGGAAGGCTGAAAAAAGAGCGTAAAGCGGCATTGACGCTTCTTGTTATGACTGGGGTTTTTTTCATCGCTTGGTTTCCATTTTTTGTTGTCAACATGTTGTACCTGTACTGTATCACTTGCCTCCCATCCTCAATCAACGCTCAGTTTGTAATGGTGGACATCATAAAATGGCTGCATTTCTCCAACAGTGCCATCAATCCAGCCATATACGCTTACCGGGATATCGAAATGCGCCGAACATTCGCCAGACTTCTCGGTCCCTTGGGAAAGTTGTGCGGACTCAATCAAATCGAACCGGAACATACGAATACACAAGTTGTTATCGACATGCAGACAAGATAGTAAGGAAACTACCATGACTGTTTAATTGACGACAATGGTCGCAAGTGCTAGGCTAGGCAGGCCGTTTTTCGAAGATCAGCTTGGGATATTGCGATTCACAAGTCCAGCATTACAATAGCCCACTCTAACAGAACAAAAATGTTTATAATTTACACGTTCGCTAAAAGAGCAAGATCTTTTGTTTTCAAGGTCAATGACCAGTCAACTGGCAATGTATATGCTTTGGATATGGTTGCTCTTGTAGTTATAACGAAAATTATTTACCAGTATTGGTCAAATATTCCTCAGTCGAATTTAATTAGATCTTTCAGGACACAAAGTACATACTTTTTCTACTACTTTATATCAGTTCATAGACATCAAAAACGAAAAAAAAGTTATCCTTAACCCCGTAAAACGATGAAAGTAAAAAAAAAAATCACCGAAAAAAACAACACTCAAATGTTTTTTGCCACTTTACCCAATTCAGTTCAATGCTGCCACCAAGCAAATCATTTATTGAGCCAATTGGAAACTCGATGTGAATATCCAATTGGTTTTAACAAACTAATGATTGCGGAATTCGAAAAGCCGGAGAGACCTGATGGGGAAAAAAATAATTTTGGAGCCAGTTTGTTTCCAGCGCAAGTATATAATTATATACTTTGTATATTGATTCAGTAGTTGAGCCGTTTTCCCCTGCATGCGGTCAATACTAGATTCTATTGACATTTAGTGGAGAAAGAGTACTATTAAACATCAGTCTTTCATATATGAGGTTGAAGTTTCTTATCAAAATAAGCCCGATATCATTAACTTAGCCCTGGCAGGTGATGAAGATTTTCATTAGCCGTTATATAAATATTGAAGCTTGGACATGTCAACTCAACGTTTGCTCAATTTTGATTATCTTGCTTTGTGAGCCAGTTAGTTCCATCGAGTGATACGTGAAAGATTGTCGGAACAAAGTGGACAACGGCTTCTCTGTGATAGGTACAAAACTCAATCCTGAAAACAAAATGAAATCTTTTAAAGATGAGGACCACCTTTCGATAAACTGTGACTAAATTCATTTCAGTTTAGTTATGCATCGAGTAAAATGTGACAAAATACATCGATGAAATAAGTATTAAGAAGACTGTGAAGTCTGTAAACTGACAATTCACATACACTAGCAGTTAAGCCACATGCATGACGCTATACAGTTTTTAGCTTAAATATATTGCTGCCGCAGGCTACATGCAGATGCGAAGACTAAGAGATAAGCAGATCACGGGAGTTAAATTATTCAAAAAGAAATTAATTTCAGGAGGTAAGAGAAAGTGATGAAAGCGGATGTGTAATCTCCTGTAAGAGTTGAATGCGTGCATGAAAATGATTGCAGCGGCAAGAGTTGACAGCGTGCATGAAAATAATTGCAGTCCACACATCAAAGAAAGTATGATTTATTGAAGGTATCTTACTATCCCTTTATCAATACACTTGATATGCCAATAAACCCGTGAAAATTGGAAATGTAATAAACAATAGTAAAGCTTAGCTTTACTGACAAATGATTCATACACTATCATCATGATAAAAGACTGAGAATGATCGCGAGACGTAATCTGTTTCTAAATTGCCTGTGCGTGTCGCCATAAATTGATTAACTTAACAAAATAACCAAAAAAGTAAATAGTGGGTTACTAGGCTTACATACACAACTAGAGTCAGTAACTTTTGACAAAGGGCGGAAAGCGTTATATCAAACGCAAGTAACAGTGTTTTACCACATTTCCAAACACCAAGAAGAGAGTTGAAAATACGACGCGTAGCGGAAGGCGTATTTTCACGAACTTGGAAGTGTTTGCCGAAAATGTGATTTAACACTGTCTCGAGTATTTGATATCTTTTGAATCGAAACCAAAACAAAGTTGAAAACGGAGTGGTAAAATCGTAAAAATCTAAGTTAATTAAGATCGGATATTGGAACACCGCCACGGCTAAGTATGATTTACTCTCATAAATCATTATTGATGAAGAATATGTCATAAGTTGACTGATTGCGTGAGTTATACGTAAGTAACTTACAATTATCTGGGGAATCTTTATCGACTGTATAATTCATCCAGATATATTCTTTTAATAATGCTCTTCTTTTCAGAGAAAAATCCTTTCATAGAACGGATTCCGAAAGCTGCGGGGAGGCAGCATGGCCGGGTGGTTACAAGTTGCCGGAATTAAAATACAGAGGTCGCGATTTCAAGTCCGCTCTGACTACCAAGTTGGAGTTGTCTCTGGGTAGACGCTTGTTCAACTCCTCGGTCAGAGAGGATTTTAAAATCCATTTCGACTATTTGAAAATTTCTTTCTTTCAGTTTTAAAGTGTCTATACGGCCAACAGGGTTTTTGTGGTTTTGTATATCTATAACATCTAAAACTGTATTCAAACCAAAAAAAAAATAATTCCGGTGCTTTTTTTGCCATGAAATCAAGCTTTAAATTTACCGCTTCGACCACGCCCAATGAAGTTGACCGCGTAACGAAAGATTGGTGACGAATGACGTCACTTCAGGAACATCTCAAAGCCTCATGTTTTTATTTTACTTGCTTGACAACCGCATTGTTCCACCAACTTCGTTTTGTTTGCTTTTTGTCGACGAAAACTCCTAACCACTACTGAAACAACAGTGACCTGAGCTAGCAGGATTTTGCAATTCCTGACTTGACGTCACAACCCATTCAGAAAACCAGACTCTTTTTTGCCACTGGCTCACGGTCAACTTCATTGGGCGTGGCTGAAGCGGGAACTTTAAAGCTAGATGTCTTTGGGCGTTAAAATGTCGGAATCCAATTTTTTTTTCTTAGAATACCTTTTTACACATTATAGAGATACCAAACCACAAAAAACCCTGTTGGCCGTATAGACACTTTAAGTGGCATGCCTGAGAACTAGCTAGTTTTAGCTAAGAGCATCGACCACTATAAACACTCAACATTTAACATTTTTTAACATGTTTAAAAAACTATCACGTGACACCGACGATAAAAAGACTGAACGACGAGTCGTTTAACGAAGACACGTTAGAGATGTGTGTGCCTTCCGTCCTGCGTGTATCTAGGGAGCTTAAGCAAGGACGACGGTGACGCCAAGGATGACGCCTAGAAAAAAAAGGAATAATATCAGGGCCGTAGTTAGCAACAGGCAAATCGTGGCACATTATATTGCATGTTTTTCGATTTGTTGTTTTTAGTCACCCTAAACACCCTCAATACCTAGGATCATAATTTCTTCATAGGCATTGCTTCAGTCATAATTTTTTTCCTGCCTACGGCCCTGAATATTTTCCCTTCGAATTGGGCAATTATGAGTACTGACGAGTTACGAAATGCAGCTGCTGACGGAAAACAATATGCATCGATGATCCAAGATAAAGGAAGAAATCAAAATGCAGATTAGATGGTGTTAAAAGTATAAACGCCTTACGGTTTTAATTCTTTTGTTGCCAAAGTCGGCTTTTGTAGCAGTTTGGAAAGGAGTCATTAAACCACTTGTGACGCCATCAATGTCCATGTCAGCGCATGGTTTTGATAAGCAGACAATACCAGTTATATCATTTGCATAGAACTGTCCATTTTGAATATCGACTGCATATTCTGACAAAGCTGATCGAAAAATAAAACCACAGTAGATTTTGATGCAACTTTGGTGGCACATGTAAAAGAGGCTATTACCATCACCCACATTTGCTTCAGGTCTCATTTGTAGCCATTACCACTGATTCAGAACGAAACATTTCCAGCTGGTAGACAG